AGGCTACATAATTCCTGAAGGTGAGGTATAAATTTATATGCAACTATTTGTTAAATTTCTTTTGAGCATGAATGTTTTTTTTACCTCACCAGTCCCTTATGATATCCCAGAGGAATCTACTTTGGCTTTCCATCAACCTCACACCGAATCAAATATATAAAAGTATCTTGGGGAGATTTGTTTTGCTAACTTGCTTGTCCACTGTGAGGAGAAACGTGGGAGGTAAATTTAACACCCCAGGGTGGATTCTGGGATGGCTGGAGACTAAAATTTGACAAGTCAGAAATCTGTTCTCAACTCGTCTTGAATGTGTCAACCTGTGGTTCAAATAGATATTGGAGAATTGGGCAGCTAAACAGAGGTAAGCCCATAAATTAAACACTCTAAATGACATTGATTACTTCAACTCAAAAAGCTGGTTTAAAAAAATTCCAAGTGCTGCAGGCTGGGCTTACCAGGAATTGGAAACTCAGCACTTGAAGGGAGATACAAAGGGCCAGATCTAGCAGATTTTCATTTGTTAGGTACTAGTTGTAGACCAGACGGAGTGGAATGTTACCCACTGTTCACACAAACTGCAGTTTCCCCTGTCACCACTTAGCACATTCCACTACTACAACAATAACAGAACTCCTCTCTCCAAAGTTATGGTTCCAAAACATTGAAAATACAAATTAGGAGCAGGAATAAACCATTCAGCAGCCTTTCAGGCAGCCTCTTCCATTCAATTTGATCATGGCTGAGCATCCAACTTGATATCCTATTCCTGCTTTGTCCCCATACTTTTAAATCCCTTTAGCCCCAAAAAGTATATCTGACTCCTTGAAAACATCCAATGTTTCAACCTCAAATAGTTTCTGTGACACACAATTCCACAAGCTCACCACTCTCTGGGTGAAGACATTTCTGCTCTACTCAGCCCACAATGGCCTGTACCATATCCTTCAACTACAATTCCTGGTTTTGGACTTCTTGTTCATGGGAATGCCCTTCCTGTGTTTACCCATCTGGTCCATATTACCATAACATATAGGAGCAGAATTAGGCTGTTAGGCCCATTTGGGTCTGCTTTGCCATTCAATAATAGCTGATATGTGTCTCAACCCCATTCTCCTGTCTACTCCCCATAACCCTTGATCTCCTTACTAATTAAGAACCCATCTATCTCTGTCTTAAACACATTCAGTGACTTGGCCTCCAGAGCCTTGTGCGGCAATCATTTCCACAGACTCATCACTCTCTGGCTGAAGAAATTCCTCTCTGTCTCAGTTTTAAAGGGTCGACCCTTCACTCTGTGGCTGTACCCTCGGGTTCTAGTCTCTCCTACTAGTAGGAACGTCTTCTCCACGTCTATCCAAGCCTCTCAGTATTCGGTAAGTTTCAATCAGATTCCACCCCCCTTCATCCTTCTAAACTACATTGAGTAGAAAACCAGAGACCCTCACTGCTTCTCATGTGACAAGCAAATCCTGTCAGAATTGAATTGAGGTTGTACAGGACATTGGTGAGACCACTTTTGGAGTACTGTGTACAGTTCTGCCACCCTGCTATCGGGAAGGATATTCTTAAATTTGACAGGGTTCGTAAAAGATTTACCAGGATATTGCCAGGACTGGAGGGTTTGAATCATAAGGAGAGAATGGATAGGCTGAGATTGTTTTCACTGGAGCATACGACATTGAGAGGTGACCTTGTAGACGTTTATAAAATTATGAGGAGCAGAGATAAGGTGAATAGCAAAGTTCTTTCCCCTATGGTGGGGGTGTTCAAAACTCGGAAGCATATTTTTAAGGTGAGAAGAGAAAGATTTAAAAAGGACCTGAGGGACAACATTTTCACACAGAGGATGGTATTTGTCTGAAATGAGCTGCCAAAGGAAGTGGTGGAGGCTGATACAATTGCAACATTTAAAAAACATTTGGATAGGTACATGAAAAGGAAAGGTTTAGAGGGATATGGGCCAAACGCAGAAAAATGGGACTAGTTTGGGAAACTTGGTCAGCATGGACAAGTTGACAAAAGGGTCTGTGTCCATGCTGTATGACTCTAAGTCAGAACCAAAGTATATATTCAATTGACCTCTAGCTCTTTGTTCCCCATTATAACTTACCCATTTCTGACTTTAAGGGAATTTCATTTGTCAAAGTTGCTGTCAGGACCTTTAAAGTTAAGGATACGGCAGCTGACTGCTGTGAAAAGGAGCTGGCAGTTTCCCGTCTGACAGGTCTATGCTATGAAAGAACTGATGGAAGTCTGACTCCACATTTTTGAGGGAACGCTGAGCATAATTTTGTCTCAGAAATGCAAAGTTCCCTTCTTTCATTTAAAAAGAAATGCTTGAGTGGCAATCTGTGTGAGTTCTGCCAGTTCTTGGAGAGTCTAGTTGTACGTCTGATTTTTAAATCCACTTTTGGGGGATGGTTACAGATAGGAGAGAAACATTTCATCTGTGTTATAGAAAAAGAAATGCAAAATCCTATCCAGTGCAGCCTGAAATACATAGAAACAGGGAAGTCATTACTTCTAGCTTCTGACATTTCTTTACAGTTGAACTGGCACCTGTAAACCATATGTTTCCAACTAGGAAGCTTGGTAACTGCTTTCTGTTATCAGTTAGCTGAGGAAAACCTCAATGCAACACTGATTCCCAGAAGTCTGCTGCTGCCCCCAACATAATTAGATTCACTGTATTGGTTCTATAAAGTGAGAGAATAATGAATCCCAGTTCAGCAAAGTTTGTCTGAGATTAAAGATGTGCGTTTGGAATCTGAGTTTAATTTGGTAAAATGCTTCTTTAATGAGAAATTGAATCTCATTTGCACTTGCAAATGTGGATAATTAATACTGAAAGGATTTTTTATGTTCCTAGAGTGACATGCTAGTGACCTGATGTAATCTTAACTTTGATTTTTTTCCCTTGATGATTTTGTCACCTACAGTTTAAATCTTATGTCCAATTGGAATGTTTTAACTCCTCCTGGATCCATACCTTTTTCACAAAGATCAGATTGGTCCAATCTTGAGGTTTCCTACAATGACCACTTGTCGTGTACACTATAAAGTATATAATAATAACTTTGACATAGCACCCTGAATGCAGTAGCGTTTATTCTAAACAGTTATGCAGAGCTAGGACCAAAAACACTGTTACACATTTAAATGATGTGACAGAGTCACACAGCATGGAAACAGGCCCTTCGGCTGAACTAGTCTGTGATGACCAGGTTTCCTAAACTGAACTAGTACCACATAACTGCATTTGGCCCATACCTCTCTAAACCTTTCCTACCCACATACCTGCCTCTACCACTTCCTCTAGCAGCTCATTCCATATACACATCATCCTCTGCATGAAAACGTTGCCCCTTAGGTCCCTTTTTAGTCTTTCCCCTCCCGCCTGAAACCTATTACCCATAGTTTTGGACCCCCGTACCTTGGAAACGGGAACAAAAACAGAAGTTGCTGGAAAACCTCAGCAGTCTGGCAGCATCTGTGAATAAAAATCAGAGTTAACATTTCGGGTCTGGTGACCCTTCCTCAGAACTGGGGGAAAGCCCTTGGCTGCTTACCTTATCTGTGCCCCTCAAGACTTCATAAACCTCAAAAGGTCATCCCTCCGCCTCCTATGCTCTGGGGAAAAAAGCTCCAGCCTATCCAACCCCTCCTTATAACTTAGATCTTCTAGGTTCAGTAACATCCTTGTAAATTTTTTTTACATCCTTTCCAGTTTAATAGCATCCTTCCTGTAGCAGGGTGGCCAGAATTGTACGCAGTATTCCAAATGTGGCCTTAATCAATGTCTCATCTCAAGTAAATGATTTTGTAAAATTGTAAAGTTCATTGTCATGTTTTCAAGAGGAATAGCAGCTATGTAGCATAATTTTTGGTTCAGAGTTTGCTTTCTCTCAGTTCCTATAAGAGTGCTTTGTGAACTGAGAGTTTGTATCCCTGCAACCTAGCTAACCTAACAACTGAGTTATGAATTTTGTTGTATTTCAATACACCTAGTCTTGCAGAGATTCCTCTTTCCCACTGAACTCCTATTGAAAAACATGGGTATAGGAGAGGAATTTGTTGGGTACAGCAAAATCGAGCATCTTCAAAATGGCTGCCAATGCTCTGAGAAATCATTTTCTAGTGGTGTGAGTTTATGCAAGTCTTTTGAGACTAGATCACAAGAATTCTGAGTAAGGAATACCAGAAGTAAAAATGTTGTGAACTTAAAAAAACAAAATATTTTTATTAAATTTTTGGGAGCCTATGCGCATATGCACGACATGCAGTTGTACAAATTGTTTCCACGTCTGGTGCTTTCAACTTTCTTGTACATGGAAAAAGAATAAAAGCACAAAGTTCAACGTGCAGAAAAATTTTGATCATACATGATTGTACATTTCATTAAAGCACAATCGTTGGTAATATGTTAATCTGCCTGTTGTCTCAAATTAGTTTTGAATATATTTTAAACCAAATTATTATTTTTGATAAAGCTCAAAAGGCAGTACCACTGCCTAAAGGCATAGCACACCATTTCAGTTCCACATTGCAGATTACAGCATCCTGTGCTATTTAGAAAATGTTGACCAGAATAAATTTTTAAAAATTGAAGTAGTTCTGACCTTGTAAGGAATGCCTGCATTTTTTTTTTTGCAGCGTGAAACACAACTGTAGCTCAGAGTTCACACACAAAGTTGTTGTATGTGCTTCACTGAGGGGAAACAAACAATATCTTCTGTCCATTGTGATAAGCAATGAGATGTTTCAATTTGGACAACTTTCTAGTCCAAGTACAGCAGAACAATTTTCAATTTGTTCCATTTTAAGCTTCTATGTTGTGAATTTGTGTAATCCATGTGCTGTTTGTTTCCAAGTTAACCAATCTTTTATGGTAAATTACAGATTAAACTTTAAAAGTTAGTTCACTTGTTTTTTATGTATTTTTATTTTATTTAACAGAAGGTTAGGCAAATGTTGTAATAAGTTTTTCTTCTCCATTTCAGAAAGAAGAGGGCAAAGTTAAAGGCCAACTTAACAACTCAGACTCCACCCAATATATTCGAGAACTGAAGGATCAGATAGATGAGCTGAAAAATGAGGTAAGTGATAAAATCTAAGTTTCTGTTAATCTTTTCCATTATCTGTAACACATTTTTTTTCTTATAACAAATTTTGCCTTCTGAAAACTGCAGCTGGCTCTGATGTAAATCTGCTAGTGCAGCTTTCTGCTATGAACTTATTCACAGACGTCTTCATGAGACGGTAACATTCCTTATCTTATCTTCCTTTCCCCATATTTTCCATGTGTTAAACATACACTAGTAGATATATTTTGTTTATTTATCATCCTTTGTCATTTTCATTGTCATAGTTGCAGTATCAGCTTAAATTGATTGTCACTTCGGCAATGTTTTGCTAAGTGCCAATTCCTATGGCCATAATTCCTTTGTTCTAAATTGTACTTCAATTTGTGTGATTTTTCACAATTAAGACACTTTTAGCCAGCAGGGTAGGATTGTCGGACATCACTGAATGATAGTTAAAAGGAGAATGAATTGAATTTGTGTTAAAAAAGAACTTACACTTTCAACCTTGCGCTTAAAAATGATTTCTGCACAGGCCAGTGAATAGATGTCGAATTGAAGTATAGATTATTTTGTTGGGAAACCAAGTAGGTTGTTTTAAATGAGATCTAGATGATTTTTTATTTTGTTGCAAATATTCTCAACAAGCATTGCCCTTTCCAAGCTCTCCTGAAGGAATTTACTTTTTGCTGGGATATGATTCCACAGGCATTAGGCTACCTCCATCTTATACCTCTTTCAAGATGTTTCTCATAATCTGTAAGCCTTCAATGATAAAAAAAATCAAACTTTTCAACCATGTGATGAAAATTGTTGAGACTGAGTCCCCCACCCACCCATTCAATAAATGTTAATGCAAGTGCTTCCAGCGGGGGCAGCTGAATAATAATCATAATTTACACCTCACCTAATTTTCCTTCCTCAATTTTAATGCCAATTATAGAATCTTGACTACTCTTGCCCTAATTGAGCACCTCATTAATCCTTTCCAATCTCTGGTTTAGTTATTTGGCTTAGATCTTTTGGCCATCTTGTATTTATATTTATTTTAAAATGAGGCATTTATCTGATTTGGGTTTTGCTATTCACAACTAAGTGTAATTGTGAGAGGGTGCAGATAGTTTTCTCATAGATCTTGTGAAACTGACCAATGAGCATTACTTGAGAATGGCCACGGTCATTCATCTACTTTTAACCACTCTTTCCATGGGAGGTATCAAGCAGTCCATTATCTTCACCCATGTTGTGCAACCAAGTTTGGGACAAGCAAGCTGTACAAGATCCTGGGCATACATTTTAATTATAAGACTCTGATGCATTGTGATGCAGATTAGTTGTATAAATGCCAAGTATTGATATTGATAATTTTTCATTATTGTTTCTTTTATAATTTTGAATTTAGAGCCATAAAATATCGCAGCATTGGAGACCCTTCAGCTAGCGTGCCTCTGCCAAATCTTTGAAAGTATTATCCAGTTAGCTCCACTGCTCTGCTGTTTTTCCAGAGCCTTCCAACTGCTTTCCTTTCAAAAATTTGTCTAATCCCTTTCTCAAAGTTATCACATCTGAGCACTGGCTCTTTTGCCATTATTTCATCAATATTGAGGTCTTTCACTCCTTAAATCTGTACACTTAGAAATAGGCTTCTTATTTATGTAATCAAACCCATTCACGAATTTGAGCACTTTTCTAAAATCTTCCCTGAGCCCCCTCTATGGAGACCAGCTCCAGCTTCTCCAACCTGCTTGCCATCTTCAAGACTATTACATCCTTCCTTAACGATGATGCTTAGAATTGGAGATACAACACTCCAGCTGAGATCCTAATCAGTGAACATTTAGCAAAATTATTTTTCTTTTTGATCCCAATATCTTTTTGACCATATTATGCCAATTTTGTAGTGAAATTATAACTAAAGACCTGGCTAGCAATTTATCTTTGCTACCAGTCACAAACATCTATTTTTGGTCAAAGGCTCCCCAGTCAAGGTGGGCAGGCTTGTTGGCAGTGTGTTGTTTGAGCTATTTATTTTGTTGTATTTTCTCATCTTCCCCCTCCTGTATAAATTGACTGGTTTAATGATTTATGGCCCATAATGGTCACCCTCTGATTTACCCAAATGATTGTGTGAGCCAAGCAAAGTGGATTGGCAGGCAAAATAGGTTGTGGAAGGTATCACAATTGAATCCAGATCCCCCCTCACTTGATGTCCACACATTCACTTCCATCAGCAGTCACTGGATGGCAATAATGGGTGGGAACTTAATTTTGCTGCATTTTCCACCACTGTGCTTTGCCCTCGGTGCGGCGTTGCCTTGATCATTGGATCTTTTGCATTAGTTCAATGCGACTAACTCAGCACTAATCAGTGAAACCTGAGATCACACAGTTTGCAATGGCTTGGCACCAACTCAATGAACAGTCTCAGGAGGCCTTGTTTTTGTAAGCTTTGTTGATGAGCTGCTGCTCGTGTTTGCATTTTCCATTTGTGGTCAATGCGCTGATCTATATATCTAACTGACTACAATTTTAGCTGTGAGCTACTTGGAGGTTGCGGAGGAGAATCGAGTTGGGACAATTTATGCAGTCATGGGCAGTTTTACACATGGTCATAATGGTAACATGCTTACTCTCTGTTCTGAGATAATACTGTCCTGTGGCAATGGTTGCCTCTAAAGGCTTAACCAAGATCAAAAGCTCAAAATACATGAAGTCGCAGTCGCAAAACTGCATCCTATAATATTGTTACCTGGCAGTGCAATTGATAGAAGCAACACCAGTCATATTTATCAGTATTTATTTTCAGTTAGTTGTGGAATACTCCTTGATTTAATGTTATCAAAAAACCATATGAATTAAAAATACATAAAACATCTTTGCCAATGCTCTTCAGAATTGCAGTTTGCTGCACTTTATAATTAATATGTTTTTAAGATTTAAAGATTATACAAAGTAGAAAAGGAGTTACTTTGGAATTATTTAAGGTCTTAGTCTTTCAGTAAATCTTAGCACCCAAACATACTTGACGTGTCAATATTTCAGATATTTGTCTTTCTCGTATTCTTGTAATAAGTATAATAAGTTTCTTCTGCTGACTTCTTGTTTCCTTCCCTCCCAAATCTAAATGTACTCCTTACTAATGAAATATTCCAGAGATAGATACCTGTAGTGCTCTTCTATACTTCACCTAATTGGTATTCAGATGTAGGGACTGTGATAAGTTATTTAATTATAACAAGCATTTCTTTGAGCCCTATTCTGTCCTGTGTAAATGTATATTTCCAGCAGGAATCAAGATAGTAATTGTAGCATTAAACCTAGCCAATGCTTACTTCCCAGTTTTGGGTTGAGACCAAGTTCCAAATCTACGCTAACCCAAGGTAATTAATTACTGACAGAAGGCTATTAGTGTGTTTTTTTTTTCGCTTACTGGCTCCTATTTTTAATCTAATGCAAACCTGTGATGGGGAAAATGCATTCAAGAATTTTTTATTTCAATTTTTAATCCTTCTGTTCCACATTAAAATCTTGTTGCTCATCCTTCATATCAAATATGACTGTTTTTCATCTGGGAGGTTAGTAATGGCACACATCAATCCAGCCTCCCAGATTACCTTGATCCACTACAATTCACCTACTTCCGCAATAGGTCCATGGCAGACCCAATCTCCCTGGCCCAATGCTCGTCCCTGGAATATCTGGATAACAAGGACACCGATGTCAAACTCCAATTTATTGACTTTAGCGCCGCCTTCAACACAATAATTGTAACCAAGCTCACCTCCAAACTCCAACACCTAGGACTCTGCTCCCCACTCTGCAAGTGGAACCTCGACTTCCTGACCCACAGACTGCAATCGGTAAGGATAGACAACAACACCTGCATCACGATAATCCTCAACACCAGTGCCCTGCAAGGCTGCGCAGTGAACCCCTTATTATACTGCTTATACACTCAACTGTATGGTCAAATTCAGCTCTAACTCCATTTGCAAATTTGCTGCGGACACCACTGTAGTGGATCGGATCTCGTACAATGATGAGACAGAGTGCAGAAAAGAGATAGACAGTTCAGTGGCATGGTGTAAAGACAACAATCTCTCAGTCAATGTCAGCAAAACGAAGGAGCTCTGAAATAAATGGGGGGGCGGGGCTGGGGAAGATAAGTGGGATGGTGATAGGTGAGTGCAGGTAGGCGGTGGTGGGTATTGGTCAGTGAAGTGACCTCACAGCGTGGTCACCTCACTGACCAACCGCCACTGCTGCCTAACTGTACTCACCTGTCACCATCCCACCTACCTTCCCCAACCCCACCCCTCCCCTCTATTTATTTCAGAGCCCCCTTACCCCTCCCCCATTTCTGAAGAAGGGTCCCGACCCGAAACGTCAGCTTTCCTGCTCCTGGGATGCTGCCTGACCTGCTGTGTTCCTCCAGCTCCACACGTTGTTATCCCGGAAATGCTTATCTCTCATCTAACCCATTGATTGGCTACCTCTTTGCCGAATTTTTACTACTGCACCAGCTTCCCAATTGGACAGCTGATTGAGATTTCACTTGTGTAGGGATAATGATTCCTTGTTTTATCTCTGACTCCAGCATCGGCAGTTCTTACAATCTCTGAGCTGGAAATGATGGTTTTTGTGCTGTTGGACAGGGGAAGGAGGAACAAGTGGAACTGATGGTGAGGGTGCCCAGTGTAAAAGACAAAGTGATTTTAATGACAGCAAGGGACAGAGATATATAGATGAAAAATACAGATAATGGTAGATGTGTTAAACTTACTTTTGGGCAACACTATTTGGTCATCATGCGAGGCAGGTCCAATGGATACAAGTTTGAAGCAGTCATCAAGAACAGCACACATTTTGTTGATTTAGTCACACTTGTTATGTATGTCTACTCTCATCTCTTGTTGGGTCCGCAGGTGTGTGTGTCCTGGTTGAGTAGACATTTAATGGCATGTGAAAATTTGACACATCCTTTCAAATCCCGCAACATGTGTGCTGTAGGTCAG